GCCTTGCGTTTCAGCTCCTCCATGGCTGTTGCCACCACATCGGCCACGTCCGCCAGATCTGCACCACGGAGCTCGCACTTTGGGGAGCCATCCACACAGGCATAGACCTGCTCCTCCGTGAAGTAGTCCCAGCGCAGCACCTCAAAGCGGGTTTTGGGCTGGAAGGGGGGTGGGATGCCAATGGGCCACGTGGCACCGTGGTCCCCATCAGCAGACAGGCTGCTGGTGTTCTGGATCTCCAGCTGCAAGAGGAGAGACAGGAATGAGAGCAAAGATGGGTGCAAGTAGGTCTTGCAGCTCTGGCTGCAAGAATACCACTCTCAGTACTCAGAGGTCAGCCACTCCTGGCCCAAAGAGCAGTGCCAGAACAACCCAGCACCCCAAATATGGTGCACCACCTTCATCAGCAGGATCCACACACCCTCCCACCCAGGCTGGCCTTTACTGGCACACCTCAGCACCTTGGGGGATCCCTTGCCCTGAATCACCATCACAGCTCCAGGACCTATCCAGGTCCAAGGCTGCTTTCCAGCCAGCACCGCTGCCCCTGCAGCCACACAGTCTCAGCTGAGCCTGTCCCACAGCAAGTTCAGGTGAGAAACCCTCATATTAGAGCAGAGAGGTGACACGAAGTGACGAGAAAGCCCACAGGGATGACAGCCCAGACCCTCCCAGCCAAACCAGGTCTCACCTGGAGCTGCTGGATCTCCTGATACGTCCTCTCAAGCTCCACTTGCGCAAAGTACTTGTGCAATCGGTACATCTGAAGAGGATCCAGCACGGGGTGGACAGTGAAGGCACTCTGGAAACGGAGGTCGCTCTCCCGCTCGGGGTCCACATTCTTCCCCAGTTCAAAATACTGGTAACGCAGGCCCTGCACAGCCAGGAGAGACAGGTCATGGCTGGCCCCAACCAACGCTCCCACCCCATCTGCTGCCAGCACAGCAAGCTCCAAGGATGACAGGGCACAAGGGCTGGTCCCCAAGGCACTACGAGCCCCTGAGGAGACAGGGAAACACACTGGGCCAGGATCAGGCTCCCGAAGACCACCTCTGCTGCAGGACCTACCTCGTGCTCCTCAGCACAGTTGACGGCTGGCGGCGCCCCAGCCACTCGTCGGGCCGGGCGCTGAGGATGTCGTTGCGGCAGCCTTCCAGGTGCTGCTGCAGGAGCAGGAGGAGGCTGCGGGACAGCAGGTAGCCAAACCCCCCATAGCAGTAGCGTCCCTCAGTGTCCCCGCCGATGAACTCCTCGGGACGGCCCAGGTAGAGGTGGGTGTCGATGCTTAGGTGAGCGACCAGGCGGTTGATGCGGTGTGCCTCCGTGTAGGTATCGTCCTGCACCAGGAAGAACCAGTCGAAGTCGTTCACGTAGTGGTCCAGGAGGTACCTGATGGTCTGGTACATGTTCCAGATGGGCCGCTCATCGCTGTGCGTCACCACCGTCATGCCGTGGGGCACCTTGCGGCCCCGCGTGCCCGTGAAGTACACCAGGCGCTCCAGGCGATGGGCCAGAGTGCGGTTGACAGCCACCCCCAGTGTGTTCAGCGTGCTCTTGGAGGTCAGCACACCCACAAAGAGCCGCTGCCGCATCCCCAGCTCCGTGCTGATGTATCGGGTCCTGCAGGAGGGAGAGGACATCTGGCCTCAGGGCACTGCACCCTGCCTCTGCCTGCACCCTCCCTGTCCCCACCAATGGTGCTGACTTTGGTTCCTCTGCAGGAACTGCTCTCAGCTTCAACCACACACAAGATATCACCCCCACAGCGCCAGCTGCAAGCAGCAGCCCTGGGCTAGAGGCACAGCAGTGCACTTTGTTGAGGTGCCCCCCAATCCTGTGACCACAGGAGACTTTCCCAACCCGTGAGCTGGCCAGCCCAGCTCAAATCACAGGCTTGCCAAAGGCTGGTGCAGCAAGAAGAGGGGAACAGGGCTGCATGTCTCAACTCTAGCATGGACGCCACCTGCCAAGCGCCCCACCATGCTGCCAGCCCCGGCCAGAAGAGCTGAGCTGGGAAGCACCTTCCCACTGCGTCACTCTTGGGCGGGCAGTCAGGCAGAAGGAGCTGTGCTGCCCTCCCCAGCGAGGCCACCCACCCCAGTGGGGCTTGAAGCCAGCATGAGGCCAGCTGTCACCCCCCTCCCTGCCACAGCCCCCACCC